CAGATTTTGTATTGGTGTTCTATCGCTGAGTAAAAAATTACCCCAACATTAGCACTTAAAACAACAAACATGTATCATATACTTTATGTAGGTCAGAAATGCATGAGTGGCTTAGCTGGGTGCTTCTGAGGTCTCTCAAAGGCTAAAGTGAAGGTGCTGATCAGGCTGTGGTCTCACATGAAGGCTTGACTGAGGATCAGTTTTCAAGTTCACTCACATGGTTATTGATAAGATTCAGTCCCTTATAGAATGTAAGGGCCTCAGTTTCTTGCTGGCTGTTGGCTGAAAGTCTCCCTTGGTTCTTTCCATGTGTGCGTCTCCATAGGGCGGCTCACAACGCCTAACCGGCTTCCATCAGACTGAGCAAGCAAAAGAGCAAGAGAGGGCACACAAGAGAGAAGCAACAGTATCTTTGCAGCCTAATCTCAGAAGCAGAATCCCATTACTATTGCCTTATTCCATTCATTAGAAGTGAGTCACTAGGTTGAGCCCACCCTCAAAGGGAGAGGATTATAGAAGGGCATGGATGCTATGAGATGGAGATCATTAGAGGCCATCCTAGCAATTGTCTACCACAAACATCAAAGCCATAACTTTGATTTTTTGCCTTAAGGCTATGTTGAAACCAGCCTTCAAATTCTCAAATTGGGGGCTCCGTTTTCCCTCTCAATTCAGTTCTTTTGTCCAAATATTTTTGGACAAAAAGTAGCAACTTATCAAATGAAGCGAGCAACAACCAACTCATATTGTAAACATTCTGCCTCAAAATCTCTGTGTCCAATGACCCAGGTCTGTTAGGTACATTTTCTGTCTTTCACATCCCAGGAGACAGTTTTACTAAATGCATCACCTCTACATAACTGCGCCACTATTTGTCTAGCTTCCTGTAACAGTTTCTACACCACCTGTTGTTAGCCAGCCAATGTTTGTCACAGGGTTTAGGTTTTTATTAGGACAGTATCATACTTCTAGATATCAATTTCTATATTATTCATATGCTACTGCATTAAATCCTCTACTTCCTTATATATCTTCTGTCTGTTTTATCATCATGAGTGAGTATGGAAGGCTCCAACCATTGTAGAACTGTCTACTTCTCTCTTCACTTCTGTCCATTTTGCTTCATATATTTTAATGGTCTGGCAGTAGATATGTAAATGTTTATAATTGTTATATCTTCTTGCCATATTGAACCTTTTATTAATATTTAGTGTCCTTTTTCTCATAATATTTTTAAATTTAAAGTCCATTTTGTCTGATATTAGTACCACCATCCCTCTTCTCTTTTGGTTCCTATTTGCATGAAATATCTTTTCCATTCTCTCACTTTCAACTTGTTTGTATTTTGGTTCTTTTGAGTCTTTTATAGACAGCATATAATTGGATCATGTGTTTTTATCCATTCTGCGAATATCTGTCTTTTGACTGGAAAGTTTAATCCATTTATAATGAAAATACTTACTGATACAAAGGAATTACTTCTCTCACTCTGCTGTTTGTTTTCCATGTGTCTTACAGCATTTTTGTCACTCAGATCACATCACTGTCTTCATTTGTGTTTAGCTGATTTTTTTGTAGTGAAGTGTTTAAATTCCTTTCTCATTTCCTTTTGTGTCTATTCTATAGGTATTTTCTTTGTGCTCACTGTGGGGATTATGTTTAATATCCTAAACTTATAACACTCTAATTGTAACTTAGTCTGGCTTACCATCAATAGTGTACAAAAAGTCTGCTCTACAGCTGCAATCCCACCACTTCGGTTGTCAATGTCAAAAATCACATATTTATATACTGTGTGCCCCAAAACATACACTAATACTTTCTTTAAATGTATTAGTCTCTTAAATTATGTAGAAAACAAAATTCAAGGGGTGGCTCAGTGGTTGAATGGTTGAGTGTCGATCTATGAACCTTTAGGAGATTATGGTTTGATTCCCAGTCAGGGCACATGCCCAGGTTGTAGGCTCCATGCCCAATAGGGGGTGTGCAGAAGCAGCCTATGAATGGTTCTCTCTCATCATTGATGTTTCTATCTCTCTCTCCCTCTCCCTTCCTCTCTGAAATCAATAAAAATATACTTAAAAAACAATATTTGGACTTACAAACCAAAGTTACAGTAGTACTAGCTTTTACACTAATAATAGTGGGGGTTTTTCTTTAAATGTTAGTCACTTACCATGTAGAAAACAAAGTGCTGTTTCAAACTATTGTTGCAATAACACTAGCTTTTATAATTTTATTTACTGTATTAAGATCCTTAATTCTCCATATACCTTCAAGTTACTGCTGTTACCAGACTAAAAGGGTCCGTTTTCCCGAAAGCCCAACAAGACACAAACCTGAGTTTGCAGCAAAGAAAATAAGAGTTTATTTCAGGAAGTGGCCCTTGCCTGGAGACAGGTGAGCTAATGCTCAAAGACCTGGCTCCCTGATGGCTTCCAAGGGATCGGTTATAGAGGAGAGGGAAATCATTAATCATGACGATTAAGGGAGTTAGGGCTGTGGTCAGGATTGTGGTCTCTACTGATTAGTCAGTGGTAGGGGAAGAGATAGTTGATCAGTGCATCTGGCCCTGTTGTCATCCATGGCTGTTGCTTTGTCTGGTTTCACCAATTTTATGGGCCTGGAGCTGAAACACAGTTGTGCTCTAGATGTTATCTTTAGTTTGGCAGAAACTCTGTCTCCGGGGTTAACAGACCTGAGGCTTTGTTCCTAAGATTATTTGATGCTGGTCAGAACCTCAGTGTCCTCAGGGCTTAATGATTATGGGAGTGCACCTGCAAGGGAGAGGGGGGCAGGTAAGTCAGGGTGCTGGGTGAGACAAGTTTGACTCAAAAGAAAGCAGAAAAAGTCATAGTAAAGAAATGAATTTTCTGCAAGGTTACACTGACTAGTGTCCTTTCATTTCACCTTGCACAACTCCCTTGAAAATTTCTTGCAAGGCAGGTCTAGAGGTCACGAACACCCTCAGCTTTTGTATTTCTGAGAATGTGTTCATTTCTCCCTATTTTTTGAAGGACTATTCTGCCCATTTTTTTCGCCCTTTAAGCACTGTAAATATATTGGCACACTGTCTTCTGGCCTCCAAAGTTTCTGATGAGAAATTTGCTAATGATCTTATTGAGAATCCCTTGCATGTAATCCCTCTTGCTACTTTCAAGATTCTCTTTTATTGTTCTCTTTGACTTTGAAAGTTTGGTTATAATGTGTCTTGATGTGGGCTTTTTTATTGCAGATATGTTTTTAAAGTCTTTTAAATTTAAGTATAGTTGGTATACAATATTATATTAGTTTCAGGTGAACAACACAATGATTTGACATTTATATTCCTTACAATGTCACCGTGCAAACCCATCACAGTATTATCTATAATAATAAAAGCATAATATGCTAATTAGACCAGACATCCTTCTGGACAACCTTCCAGATGAAGTCGCAGCGCCAGGGGCCAAGCCCCTTGCACGAATTTCGTGCATTGGGCCTCTAGTTGATTATATTCCCCTTGACCTTTTTTTTTTTTTTTTTTTATAAATTTTATTGATTTTTTACAGAGAGGAAGGGAGAGGGATAGAGAGTTAGAAACATCAATGAGAGAGAAACATCCATCAGCTGCCTCCTGCACACCCCAGACCGGGGATATGCCCGCAACCAAGATACATGCCCTTGACCGGAATCGAACCTGGGACTCTTCTGTCCCTAGGCCGACGCTCTATCCACTGAGCCAAACCGGTCAGGGCTCCCCTGGACCTTTTTACCTATCCTTCCAGCCCCCTTCCATCTGACAATTTTCAATTTGAGCTCTGTTGCTATGAATCTGTTTTGTTTTATTTGTAAAAGGTTTGGAGTGGGCCGGGTCACGCACCTATGACATGAGGCTGTAATGTATCAAAAGGCTTTTATTTCAGGCGTCTGGGTGCAGATGGGCTGAGTCAGACAAAAAAGGAGTCAGTGGAGAATGAAGGGAGAGGCAGATTTTTATTACTCCTTGCTGGCTGCAAGCCATTCTGCTGACGTAAGGGTCCAGTCCGTCCTTAGTTCCTCCTATGCCAGGTGTCTTCTGGTTATCTGGGCTATGCCATGCTCAAGGCTGCAAGCTTTCTGCAAGATATCTGCTAAGCACAATAAGTTTTCTCTGCCTCGTTTTATTCTCTTTAACCCTTTCAGTTTGTTATTTGTTTTATTTTTTTTTTAAATTTCTTATTGGTTAAGGTATTACAAATGTGTCCTCAACCCCCATGTTATTTGTTTTATTTGTTTTTTTAGATCCCATATGTGTTAAACCTTATGATTAACTGTCTGATTAACATCATTAAAATGATCATACTACCCAAACTAATCTACAGATTCAGTGTGATCCTTATTAAAATACCAATGGCATTCTTCTCAGAACTAGCACCAATAATCCTAAAATTTATAGGGAATTGGTGTGGAGTTTTTTATTTCATCTTACTTGGAGTTCATTAAGTTTCTTGGGTGTTTACATTAATGTCTTCCATCAAATTTGGGAAGTTTTCAGCCATTATTTCTTAAATCATTGACATTTCTGGGTTGCTGGCTCCTCCAGTTCTCAGGCTGAGTGTATGAGGCAAAAAACAAAACCCAGGAAACTATTCAAGGTCATGTTGCTCCTCTGCTCCTCAGATCACTCGCCAGTTTGCCTTCTTTTTTACACCTTTTAGAGCCTCTTATATTTATTTTGTATATAATACCCAGTGTTTTTAGTTGTGCTTAGATAGAGGAATAGGAAAAGTACTTAATCTTCTTACAAATGGTAGCCTTAGGATGTTTTATGTCTGCATATATACTGTCCTTAGTGTGTTGGTTAAATGTTGAGTTTTTTAATTCATGTTTATTCTTTTTTAATGTTTTTATTGATTTTAGAAAGAGAGAAACGTTGAGGTGAGAAATATAGATCAGCTAGCTGCTTCCTGCACGCTCCCCACTGGGGATTGAGCCCAAAACTTGGGAATGTTGATTTTAAATATTATTCTTTTACCTAGATAAAAGCCAAGAAAAAACATCTGAGAACAAAGAAGGAAAGAAATTCTACCCTAGCAAGACATAAAAATGCCAGAGAAGAGCGAGAGGTAAATAAGTATCCATTGATCTGGTTGTTAGCAGCTTCTGAAAAAAATGTTTGCAAGAGAATGGCAAGTTATTTCCTCTTACACTTCCCATTCCCTAATTATTCCTCAGGAAAAGTTAATGATTAAATATTTTCTCATCTTATTTACTGTTTATAAAAGCACAAAAGAACCTTGACAGATGAGAGGTGGGTCTTATTAGGTGTGATATTTAAATTTCACTTATATTTACCTTACTCAGAAAAGTATTTGAGTCATCTGAGAAAGATGCATCCAGGATAGCAAAAAATAAATTAAAATTAAGAAAAATTAAATTGGAATACAAAAGTATAGATGGTGCGGGGAGGTTAGTTTCCACCATGGCAGAAGGGGAGCTCTGCAGACCCATTCACTAGCAAAAGTAGGTGAGAACTATTAAAAACAAGACAAAGAGCAACCATTTAAACAATGAGGTTCAAAGATTTCTTCCACAAAGAAGTCAAAAAGCAGGAGGCCAGTGTTGCCCCCGAGAGAAAGTAAGTGAAAGCTAAAGAGTGTGGCATTCCCTAGTTCTCAGGGTGCAGCCCCTGAGTTCTGTTGTACTTTTTAGTTACACTGATGAGGTCATCTTTATTCCCAACTCTGAAATCTTTTATACTTTTATAGTTTTTATACTTTCCCATGTTTGGAAGACTACACGCCATACTTACCATTGATCAGCTCCAGAATATGGAAACACATTCACTTTTCACTGCTTGCACCTCTGTTGTTTGAATTACACAATATGTTATTGTAATTTTCTTATAATTTGTAAGAAGATACCCCAAAAAAGAATATTCTTTCTAATGGATTCAGCTACTTATCAATGAAAAAGTTGAGCCTTTTGGTCAAGATTAAGGGAGAACTGGGGAGTGAGTATTTCATGGGGACAGTGTTTCAGTTTGGGAAGATGAAAGAGTTCTGGAGATGGGTGGTGGTATTGGTTGCACAGCAGTATAAATGTACCTAAGGACATTGAACTCTACACTTAAAAATGATTAAGATGGTAAATTATATGTGTGGTGTATTTTATCACACACACACAAAAGATTAAGGGATGATTTAAACAGTGAATTTACACTGGGTGTTATGAGGTTGAGCTAAAGACTAAAATCAAGCACACACAGATAGGGAAAACACGCTCAATAATGGGGCATTTTAAACACACTGAGCATTTTATAATAAGTCTTTATTTGTTATAAACACCCTGCCTCTCTGTCATCCCAACATTCCTTTCCCCATCACAACGAACATTCACACACTGATATGCTATGTTACTGTTGGCAGAAATGATTCAATATGGATTTCTAAAATTAAAATAACAACAACAAAAATAACATCTCTAGAAATGGCCCTAAGAACATACAGCAAATGAAAAAAACATATATTTATGAAAATCTACAACTTGATTAAAAAACAGTGAAAGTCTGTGGTGTTTGAATCAACACTCCCTGCTCCCCTCCCCCTCCTCCCCCCTTCCCTCCCCTCCCCCCTCCCCCCACAATGAGACTGAGACTGTAGAGGAATTCAGCCCAGACACAGGGCCTCCTCTCCCCACAGATAAAAGTCAGAGAGTTGTCTCCGCAGGAAAGTTATTCTGTCTCCAATGCTGAAGCTACATTCCAGGTGAGTGCAGCCCATTTAGAAATGGGGGTTCCTCCTTCTACCCAGGCCCCATTCATGAAAAAGAGGCTCTGTCTTGGGTGCCACATCACTGAGAATATTTTTGGCCCTAATCGCCCTTGCTTTGGCTCATCAAGTGGTCGTTCCACACTGGAAAGGCGAATTTAGAGAAGACCAGAAACTACTGCCCTCTTCCCACCTACAGCTCAGCTCCTAAAGTGGGGTGAAGGTCATGGTCTCCACCCCCAGCTCCAGAGACACTCGGGTCAGAACCTTTGACTTGGGGGAGAACCAGATGAAACAGGTCCTAATCTCTCCCCCAAACAAGTGACTTAATTTGCAACAGGTCCTGGAGAAATTCAAGTTTCATGGCATTTTCAAAATCAATACAAGTATGGTAAAAGGCATTGGGAGGGGATTGGTAGGTACATTGGAAATACAGGCTAAGCGAAACAGTAAGGCAGCTGATTTTCCAGAGAGAAATGGGCAAAGAGGCAGCTGGGAGGAGCCCACCTGAGATCAGAACAAATCTCAAACGCTGACCTCAGGAACTATGCCTTCAAAGGAACACAAATTTGATTGGATTGGCCTGTACAATAATATATGCCCTAGTGTATACTCTAGGGCAGTGGTCGGCAAACTGCGGCTCAGGAGCCACATGAGGCTCTTTGGCCCCTTGAGTGTGGCTCTTCCACAAAATACCACGTGCGGGCGCGTACGTTCAATGCAATTGAAACTTCGTGGCCCATGTGCAGAAGTCGGTATTTTGTGGAAGAGCCACACTCAAGGGGCCAAAGAGCCACGTGTGGCTCGCAAGCCGCAGTTTGCCGACCACTGCCCTAGGGCATTGTTGAAAACTGTAAAGCTAATGGCCAGAAATGAGTGGAACTTAATTGCTGGCTGTGGTCAGGGAAAGAGACCGAGACACCCTGTCAAAACCACTGTCATCCCAGGGTGAATGTGGGCATACCCAAGTCTGCACCCCTAAGGAGCAAAATTAGGAGCTTAACACTGCAGATGGCTAAGGGGCTTCACTAAAATAATGCAGCCTGTCACCAAAGAAACAAGCTCTCTAATTGGTCTTAATGTATTAAATCATTTATAGAACCCAAACCAAGGTAGATGTGTTTGGGAGCTTGTTTTTTATTTTTATTTATTTATTTTTGTATGTAGATATTGTGAGACACATTTATTTAGTTCTCATAAACATATCCACATGGTGGTTTTTCTCAGAAATATCTATGTGGCTTTTTCACCTTTCTTGATTGGAGCTTTTAAAATTGTTATGAAATCATAATCTACATTTAATGTTGGCTTTTCCATATGGAAAGCAATCTCCTCATTTGGTCATTTCAGAATGTTGCCCAAAAACGAATGGGAGTTCGTTGATCCTGAAATTTATTTTCTAGTAATCTTTGACAAAAGGCTGAAAAATGTCATCTTAACTGAAGTGAACATCTGAGGATGGCTCAAATTTATGCTCTTGATTATTTTAATGTTTTGCTTATAAGACATCAATACATCCCAAAATAATAGTAGTAAATTATTTTTAAAATACTTTAACTTCATCTTGTACTAGGACACATTTAATAATGAATTTTGAAGACTTTCAGCACAAATAATTACAGATTCCTATGATTAAAATTTGTAGATCACATTCATAAGGATATTGGCCTGGTGGTTTTCTATGGGATAAATGTAATAGTTTGTTATGGTTCACAGCATCATTTTAATCCCGGGAAGAGGGCTAAAAATGCAGACATTTAAGAGATCATCAAATCAAGTCCTATCAGTGATTTTCTTCAACCTAATTTTAACCCTATTTCTCCAAATTCTAGTGATTATATAATATTAGAGGCCCAGTGCACGAAATTCGTGCACTCAGGGAGGAGGGGTCCCTCAGCCTGGCCTGCACCCTCTCGCAGTCCTGGAGCCCTGTGGTCAGTTGCCCCAAAGAGGTAGGCCCTGCCCACCCGTCCGGGGCTCTGTGATGGATTGCCCCCCGCAAAGGGATGCCCCGCCCACCCACCGTAGCCCGCCAGTCGGTGGCCTGGGCTTCCCTCTTTGGGGCAGTCACGGAGCCCCCCGATTGATTGCCCCGCTGGCCAGTGGCCTGGGCCTCCCTCTGCGGGGCGATTGTGCGGCAATGGCTGGGCCCCCAGACCAATCGCATCACACCTGCCTTGGCTGGCCTGGCACTATTAGGTGTCATAGCTTGCTCGTCTGGATGTTCAGCCATTCAGTCAATTTGCATATTACACTTTTATTACATATACTAGAGGCCCAGTGCACAAAAATTTGTGCACTGGCGGGGCGGGGGGGGCGGTATCCCTCAGTCCCACTTGTGCCCCCTCACAGTCTGGGACCTCTCAGGAGATAATGACCTGCTGGCTTAGGCCCACTCCCGGGTGGCAGAGGGCAGGCCCAATCCTTAGGTGCCTGCCCCGAAGCCCCTGGTCGGGCTCAGAGCAGGGCCAATTGGGGAGTTGGGGCACCGCCCCCTGTCATGCACAGAGCAGGGCGGATCAGGGGGTTGGGGCGCCTTCCCCTGTCACGAACAGAGCAGGGTGGAAAGGGAGGTTGTGACCCCGCCCTCGGTCACACACAGAGCCACAGGGCGATCAGGGGGTTTGGGTGCTGCCCCCTGTCATGATGCTCCAGGGGCCAGGAGGCCTCGTGGTGTCGAGTATGACTCCCTCCACATTCTGTGTAGAGTAGGGTTCGGTATCTGAAAGAGGAGCCGCACAACAAATGAGAGAAAAAGACAAGAGATAATTTTGCAATATTGGGGGACCAGGCGGGCAAGTCCCGAAGGACTTCCTCTGTGCTCAGGCCGCTCCAATCTTTTATTGATCTGGAGTAGCCCTTAGGGTAAGGAGGTTTCAATGACACACAGATCAGCAGACAATTTCCAGGAATAGACAAAGTATCTGATTAGCTCATCAATAGATTTCCGGGAGTATCTGATTAACAATAATCAACAAGGATCTACATAAGTATCTAAGGAATTAAGTGAACTAAGGTGGGGATGCTTCAACTATTATTACTTAAATTAACTGGGTGGTTCCTAGATTAACTGGGTGGTGCACAGCCCTGACCTTTGCTAGGACTTTCAAGCCCTGACCTTTACTAGGACTCTCAAGGGCTACTAGCTTTTGGGGGGGTCTCTGTCTAAACTCAGCTAGTGAAGACAATGAATGGACTCCGGCATCGTGGCTCCGCTGATCCCGATGCTGGGAGGCCTTGCGGCTCCACTGATCCCGGTGCTGGGAGGCCTCTCGGCTCCACTTGACACGGGCAGTGAGGCCTCGCTGCTCAGCTGATTCCAGTGCCAGGAGGCCTCACAGCTCCGCTGATCCCGGGTTCGGGAGGCCTCATGGCTCCGCTGATCCCAGGCCGGGAGGCCTCGCGGCTCCTCTGATCCCGGGTTCGGGAGGCCTTGTGGCTCTGCTGATCACAGACCAGGAGGCCTCACGGCTCCGCTGATCCCGGTGCCAGGAGGCCTCATGGCTCTGCTGATCCCGGGTTCAGGAGGCCTTGTGGCTCCACTGATCCCAGGCAAGGAGGCCTTGCGGCTCTGCTGATCCCGGTGCTGGGGGGCCTCGCTGCTCCGCTGATCCTGGTGCTGGGAGGCCTCACGGCTCTGCTCATCCCGGTGCTGGGAGGCATATTACCCTTTTACTATATAGGATAGAGGCCTGGTGCACGGGTAGGGGCTGGCTGGTTTGCCCTGAGGGGTGTCCTGGATCAGGGTGGGGGTCCCGATTGGGTGCCTGGCCAGTCTGGGTGAGGGGCTGAGGGCCGTTTTCAGGCTGGCGGATGACTGAAGCTCCCAACCTCTCTTTTATTTCTTTTTTCTTTTTTATTCTGGGATTTTATTTACCTTCTATGGCTGTCACTGGAGCTGAGAGCTGTCTTTAGCTCTGAGGCTTGGCTCCAGCTCTGAGACCTCGGCTGCTGAAAGCAGGTTTCTGGACTTTGTTTACCTTCTGTATTTGAAACTTTGTTGCGACTCCAGCTCTGAGATCCCGGCTGACTGAAAGCAGATTTCTGGGGTTTTGTTTAGCTTCTATATTTGTAACAGTGTTTCTTAGAGAGCAGCTCAGAGCCCAGCAGGCAGACGGGGAACCTGGCTTCCTCTGTCACTGGAGCAAGCAAGCCTCCATGTTCGCGTCAGCTGCCTGGCTGCTGACCGCCATCTTGGTTGGCAGTTAATTTGCATATCTTGCTGATTCGCCAATGGGAAGAGTAGCGAAGTTATGGCTAATTACCATGTTTCTCTTTTATTAGACAGGATAATATTGCTACTTTCAACTTTATTTTTTTATAGAATAGTTCCCTTTTTTCTCCCTTCAATAATCTTTCAGTTGTTACATTTTCTCCCATTTTCATACTCATTATATCAGGTGGTTTTTTTGTTTTTGCTGCCAATCTATTTTATGTACAAAGGGATTTTATTTTAGTTTTTAATTCTATTTTATCCACTTAAAAAAAAATTACTGATTTCAGAGAGAGGAAAAGAGAGGGAGAAAGAGATAGAAACATAAATTATGAGAATCATTGATCAGCTGCCTCCCACACGGCCCCTACTGGGGATGGAGCCCGCAACCCAGGCATATGTCCTGACTGGGAATCGAACCATGACCTCTTGGTTCATGGCTCAACCACTGAGCCACACAGACAGGCCGTACTCCACTTTTTATCATAAGTTGATAAGCATTTCATCTTGGCAAAAATGTTTTCAATTCTCTTTTCCTTTCTCAGGCCCTTTTGGAAAATTCTTTATAATATCCACATAACACAAACACAAAAGCAAAAGTTTTATCACATTAAAAATGTTGTCATGGTTACATAATGATCTGTATGTAGACTACTCAATATTTACAGTCACAATTCTATAGTGTTTTGTCTCTCTTTTTTTAAAAAATATATTTTATTGATTTTTTACAGAGAGGAAGGGAGAGGGATAGAGAGTTATAAACATCAATGAGAGAGAAACATTGATCAGCTGCCTCCTGCACACCCCCTACTGGGGATGTGCCTGCAACCAAGGTACATGCCCTTGACCGGAATCGAACCTGGGACCTTTCAGTTTGCAGGCCGGCGCTCTATCCACTGAGCCAAACCGGTGAGGGCGTGTTTTGTCTTTTTTAGTCCATCCAGGTCATATTGGCAATTCCTTTCAAGATAGAACACAATGTTATATATGCTCTTCCTTACCGGATTTCTTTGCAAGCAATGAGAAAATAATTTTCATCTTTTCTATATAAGCATAGTTTTGTAATTGCTTATACATTTTCATATAATTTTATATATTTCACCCGTTACATAGTTTTATCTTCCTGTACCTTTACTCTTCTCATTTCACTGAGATTATAAACTACATTGTTTGGCCTCTTATCATAAATAGGTTCCATATGCAGTGAATAAATTTTAAACTCCCTTTAGTGCCAAAATATATCAGTATTTTCTTCTACTCATAGCTCTAGGATGAAAGTAGTGTTGGGATAGGTATTAGGTTCTGATAAGAGATTATTTTATCCATTCTGAATCTATGAGGTTAAAACAAGAAATGTTGAAAAGAACTCTTCCTTAAGTCACATAGGAAATACATCTCATTTTCATGTGCGTAACCATATTGCTTTCCTTCTGGTTCTGTGTTCCACTAGGTTTGTGGTAGAGGATATTTAATACCAAGACACAAAGAATCAAACTCTGATGTGAAAGGTAATGTTCTGCTTCTACCCTCTCATAAATGATAAATTCACTTAACAAACACTGTATTTGTGCCACAGCTTTGAGGTTTCCACTGTGCTTGGTGCTTACAGATATCGAAAAGTATACTCTACCATTTCTTCCTCCCAGGAGCTCATTTTTATAGGGGGAGACAAACAAGTTCAGTTCTGCTTGTTTTGTAACCTGTTTTTATTTAAAATTGGAGTATATCATTAACTTTGACCTTATAACTTCCTGTCTGTGTATAGTATCAATTATTTATTTATAATAGATTCTTAGAAAGGAATTGCTGCCCCAAAGGGTATGAATATTTTTAAAATTTCTGCTATAAATAGCAAAAATGCAACCAAAAAATCGTAAGATTTGACAACTGTGTTAATTTAACTGAACTAAACTACTATTGACATATTATCTGCTAACATTTTCATGTAGAAAAAGATAAAAATATGAAATGTAAAAGAGTCAATGAATTGTTTTCATGCTACTAATGATCTTTTTACCATCTAGATGCAAAGCCAAATGTATCAGATGATCGTATATTTGATTATTTCAGAAGACCGTTTCCTAATCAAGATTTGGGTGAGTAAAGTGAGAGTAGTATAACAAGTAAAGAGTTAATAATTTATGTTTGATAAAGATCTATTTATAAGCAATTAGAAAAGTATCTTCACATTGGATAGACAAGGAATAATTCACCTTCCCAGAAATTTTGAATCTCAAATCTTTTCTTTATAGCTCTAGAAATATATAGAAGTCAGTAGATATTTATTATATGTCAGTTTGCTTTCTTGTAATCTTACCCAGTCAAAAAAAAAAAAAGTATTACATCATCTAATTTTTTTCATTCTCATTTCACTGAATCTTAAAGCAGAAAGAAGTCTTGAGAGTAGTCTTACCTTCTACTAATTACAGGATCCAGGCTCGTGCAACCTTTGATAGACTAATTTTAGTGATAGGTAGTTTACCAAATTAAAATAGAGTTCATTCCATTGCTAGATAGCAGTAGCATTAAGAAAACATTCTTCACATGTTGAGTTAAAAAGCATGTCCCACCCTAACCAGTTTGGCTCAGTGGATAGAGCGTCAGCCCAGGTACTGAAGGGTCCTGGGTTCAATTCCAGTCAAGGGCAAGTATAGGCACAATCCCTGGCCCTGGATGGGGCACATGCAGGAAGCAACCAATCGATGTGTGTCTGTCTCTCCCCCTCCCTTCCACTCTCTCTAAAAATCAATGGAAAAATATCCCTGGGTGAGGATTAACAACAACAACAAAAAACATGTGTCCCTGTATATTTCATCCACTCTTTAATAACACAAAATATTGACTAAAGGAATCTTAAAGGTAAACATTTCTGATTTGACTCATTTTCCCTGATTCTCCTTGAAATAATGAGATGTAATGCCTCTTCCACATGATAGATCATAAATATTTTTAAAAACTATTATTTATTTCCATGTAACTTTTGTTTCATTGTTTTACAACCATCCATATTATGATAGGCCTAATTCAAATCCCTCTACCATCTCATTTTATTCTTTTCTATCACTATTCAAGCATAAATGAAGCTAAACACAGTATTGTGAATGTCATCTAATGAGTATACTAGGTGGGGCAAAGGCACATTTACAGTTGTGAGTATCCAAAACACATTTATTCTTGTATTACTATCTATTAATTATTGTATTATTTTCCATATGAACAACTGTAAACCTACTTTTTCCCCACCCTGTACAATAAATCATCATTTTCATTTGCTTCTTTGTATGATAAGAGATTTATATGAGTGCTAAGATTGCATTTGTTCTTTGAATACCTACATACTGGATTTACATATACTCACACCTATCAAATATTATTTTCAAAGTGTGACAGCTAATTTATGTCTCCTTCATTCTCTTTTTCTTCAGTTTTGGTTTGATATTTTGGTCCAGTGTACTGGTTCTTAAATTTATTCCTGCTAAACTAAGTCTTCTTAGATTCAGCCTTTCATGATCTTGATTTTTATTATGTCATATTATTGTACTATATACATATGTGTATACATATATATATTTATGTGTATACATACACATGTGTATGTATGCATCTCTATACATACATTTTATCTCTTGTCAAAGCTTCAAACTCTTATATTTTTCTGCTATACATATAGATGCCCCACGTATCCAAATTCAAATTCACCTGATTCTGCTCTAAATGCTGTTCCTCCGTATTTTGTATTCTCTGTAACTTTGGTAGCAGTACTATCTCCATAACCACCCAAACTAAACCCTCATAGCTATCCTTTTTCCTCATTTCGCTTCCATCCCTCGTATCCAGTTAGCCACTGAATCTACCTGAATTTATCCCATAATCCCTTTGTCTCAATCTCCACTCCCTCATTCTTTTTTTTTTAATATATATTTTTATTGATTTCAGAGAGGATGGAAGAGGAAGAGAGATAGAAACATCAATGATTTGAGGGATTGAGCCTGCAAGCTGGGCATGTGCCCTGACCAGCTCATAGGTTGATGTGCCACTGAGACACGCCAGCCGGGCTCCACTACCCTCATTCTTTTCAGACTCATATGACCTATTTCCCAGGAGTGCTACAGATCTCTAATATTGTCATCTGAATTGCACCTTTCACGGGACCATAATGGCCACCTCTTAATAACACAAATCTGCTTATGTAAACCACCTACCTAAAGCCTTTCAGTAATTCCCAATTTTCTAACACTGATTGAAGTTGGCACAGCCCTAAGTCTTAAATATTTTTTAAGCTTTCTCTTTTAAATATTTTAAACTTTTACTTTTTAAATAACTTAGTACAAAGACCTATATTCCCTACCTATTCAACTTTGATACAATTTTCTATCATCCTATAGTCAAATTTTGCCAAATGCACCAACAATGTCTTTTAGAGCAAAACTTCTCTGATTCAAGATCATAATTTGCATTTAATTGTCATATCCCTTTGTTCTCTTCTCATTTGGAACAGCTGCTTGAACTTTATTATTCACAGCACTGGCCTGTTTGAAGATTATGAGCCAGTTGTCTTGTAGAATGTCTAGTTTTAAAATTTTAGAATACACAACAGTTACCTGAGGAGCGTACGAAAACAGCTTCTTATTCAGAGTTGGTCTTTGTTGTCAACCTCAGATCATTCTGGGGTTGGTGAGTCATCTGCAGACACACTTTGCAACTCACCCCTTTGGGAGTTACAGTGAGAGTTGTAGGGACACAGCCCATCCAACCCTCATTCATCCTGAGTAGCTTTCTTGTACAAGTTTCCTTTCAATAATGTTCTGTTACTTAAACAAAACCGAGAAAAATTTTTGACAGACCATTAGCTGCAACATAGAAACCAAGTTTTCAAATGTGACATATTGAATTCCAATGAACTGGCCCCTTACTACCTCTCTAGTTTTATCTCTTGTGATTCTCTGCTTTCACTTAACACCTTAGCAAAGATGATCTTCCTGTAGTTTCAAAATACATGCGTCTCCTCACCTCCTTGCCTTTGCTCATGCTGTCTTCTCTGCCTGAAACGTACCTCGCTGTCTCTTCAACCAGAGTAGCTACTCATTTAAGGAGTAGGCATCAAAGTTTACTAAGACTCATATGCAGTTCATTACAGGGAGAGTGAGATGGACTGAGTGATAGTGAATTGCACACACACTGCTCTGGTTGTTCAGAGGGGGTCCTGATCCAGCCTGGAAACCTCAGGTAATGTTTTCTTGAAGAAATTGATCCTTAAATTATAATGAGTCTTAACTGACAAGTTAGGCATTTAACAGGGGAGAAAAGAATCACTTCCTTGAATTCTTAAAAGATTGTTGTCAATAGTTTTGTGATCTTATATGCAAACTAGAGGCCCAGTGCACAAAATTCGTGCACTGGGGGGTGGGGGGGTGGTCCCTCAGCCCAGCCTGCGCCCTCTTGCAGTCCGGAGCCCTTGGGGGATGTCTGACTGACAGCTTAGGCCTGCTCCCTAGTAGGCCTAAGCTGGCAGTCGAACATCCTTAGTGCTGCCACGGAGGTGGGAGAGGCTCCCAACTGAGCGGCGCTCCCCCTGTGGGACCACACTGGGGGAGTGCTTTTGCTTTGAGCGTCTTCCCCCTGGTGGCCAGTGTGCAACATAGCAACCAGTTGTTCCATTGTTCAGTCGATTTGCATATTAGCCTTTTATTATATAGGATTCTTTTCTTACTTGGCATGCAGTGTGCCTGGGACTAGAGGTAACTCATTCAGAGCCCTTTGACTTCGGTCATCTCTTGCCAATATTTATTCTACTCAGAAGAAAACTTTTTGATAGAAAAGATAGAAACAGTTTAAGAGCTGAGGGATTCTGCTCTTTGTTATCCATTCACATTTTAAAATAATTCCAGCAGGACAAATCTAAAACATTCTTTGGTATATTTTCATTCTGAAAACAGCTAAGTAAAATTTATTTCTTGTTTTTAATATTTCTTCATATCTTAGTTCATTTGATATTTTAACCTTCCTGACACTATTCTTCTATGTCTAAGCCATTCTCTTATATTTAGTTTTTGTTACATAATCTCCTTTCATCTCTCTTCATGTTCTTCTAAAAACCACACAAATAGAAGATGTGTGTTTATCTGCTTCCCAGAGGTCTCATGTCATACTATGCAAAGATTGTGCTAGATACTGGGGTACAATGAGAAATAAAATATAGTCTGTTCTCAAGAAGCAGAGAGAATGAAAACAAGTAAACATAAAAAAAATTAGATAAATGCAACTTACTGTGCTATGGGATTATGTAGGAGTTGTTTGAGGATAGGGGAGAATCAGAGAAGGTTTCTCAAAATTGTTAGGATTTACAGGGGCTTAATAAATGGTATGTATCTTTACTATGTTCTGAATCACAAATAATTAAAAGAATAAGACAAACAAAATACTAGCAAACTAAATCTAACAACATATAAAAAGATTATGCACAATGGACAAGTAGTACTTATTCCAGAAATGAAAGGTTGGTTTAACATTTGAAAATTAAACAATGTAATGTGGTAGTCGGGGTCAACCACAGTCCTAAAATATTAAATGGAAATTCCAGAAATAAACCCTTCATAAGTTTTATTTTTTTATTTTTTTTTATTTTTTTTAAAATATATTTTATTGATTTTTTACAGAGAGGAAGGGAGAGAGAGAGTTAGAAACATCGATGAGAGAGAAACATCGATCAGCTGCCTCCTGCACATCTTCCACTGGGGATGTGCCCGCAACCCAGGTACACACCCCCGACTGGAATCGAACCCAGGACCCTTCAGTCTGCAGTCTGACTCTCTATCCATTGAGCCAAACCGGTTTCCGCCCTTCATTAGTTTTAAATCCCACGCTATTCTGAGTTGTGTGATGAAATCTGGCACCGTCCTGCTCCATCACACCTGGGATGTGAATTACCCTTGGTCCAGCATCCCCTTGCTGTACATGTTCCCCACACATTAGTCACTTAGTAGCCACCTTCGTTATCAGATCAACTCTGTGGTATTGCAGTGCTAGTGTTCAATCACCTTATTTTATTTAATAATCACCCCAAAGTGCAAGAGTAGTGGTGCTGACTATTTGAATGCCAAAGAGAAGACATAAAGTGTTTCTTTTAAGTGAAAAGGTGAGTACAGTACAATTAGATATTTTGAGAGAGAAAGAGATCATATTTACGTACTGATTACAATACATTCTTATAATTGTTCTTTTTCATTAATAGTTGTTCATCTCTTACTGTGCCTAATTTATAAATTAAACGTTATCATAAGTATGTATGTATAGGGAAAAATATTATAGCCCTAGTGCCGGGGTCCAACCCCAGAAGGTCCAGGGGTCCCCAAAGGTGTGGACGGAGTCGGCGAAGAAGGAATGACATGGAGACAGTGTTCACTTGATCAGCAGCCTAGCCAGGATCTCTAGCCAGGATCTCCAGCCAAGTTCTGGTCTGGATCTCCAGCGAAGTTCTGGTTCAGGATCTCCAGCCAAGTTCTGAGTCCATGCTCTCTTGCTAGGTTCTCTAGGCTCTCCAGCCAGGTTCTGTAGCCATGTTCCCTCGCTAGGTTCTCCAGCCAGGTTCAGTCACCAGGTTCTAGTCAGGTTCTCTTGCCCATTTCTGTAGTCAGGTTCAGTCCAGGATCTTTTGCCATGTTCTCTCCAGCGAAGTTCTTCTGTCTCTAGTTCTGTGTGTTCTGTCTTCTTACATCTGTATTTATACCAGTTGATTCCAATCCTATCAATCTCTATTTCAAAGGTTAGGGCGTTTCTTATCTCCATTCCAGGGAGTAAAGATTATGTAGCTTAAGCATGATTGTTCGTAGTTAAAGTGATTAATTACCCACCTGGCACTTAGTTAAGAGGTTTTATTCCCTCCCTAACTTCAGGGGAAAATCCCTACCTGGGGAAACAACCTTTCTCAGAGACCTTGGTTAAAACACATAGTGCCAAGAAGGTGAGCAAACATATTAAGAACGGTATGTCATATATGCCAGGTCCCTTGAAACAGCAAGCATGGACCGGCTCCCGGCACCCTAGCTGGTTTGGCTCAATGGACCTAAGGGTCCCAGGTTCTATTCTAGCCAAGGGCATGGACCTTGGTCCGGGCCATGCAAGAGGCAACCAATCTATGTGTTTCTCTCACATTGATGTTTCTCTCTGTCTTTCCCTCTCTCTTGCACTATCTCTAAAAGATTAATGGAAAAATATCCTCGGGTGAGGATTAAAAATATAAACAAACAATATATATATATGGGGTTCGGTACTATCTGCAGTTTCAGGCATCTACTGGGTGTCTGGGAACATACCCCCATGGATAAGAGGGTATTGACTACTCTATGCTGTTTCTCTAAAACTGATAATCTCTGAAGAGTTCATAAAGAGTATAGAAAAGGATGGACTAACTGCACCTGGGTTGTTTGACATTATGTGTAGATTATGACTAAAACTCATACAGTAAAAAAAATTACATTTGGAAGTAAATAAGACTGACTCAGCCCAGCCGGGTGTGACTCAGCGGTTGAGCCCAGGAACCAAGAGGTCACCAGTTTGATTCCCAGTCAGGGTATATGCCCAGGTTCCGGGCTCGATTCCCAGTGTGGGGCATACAGGAGGTAGCCAATCAATGATTCTCTTTCATAATTGATGTTTCTATCTCTCCCTCTCACTTCCTCTCTGAAATCAATAAAAATAATATTTTTAAAAGTAAAGTAAAAGGTCTTATATTTAGGTCTTAAGATAACAGAATAATATGGCTTATAAATTTAAATATTTAGTACAGAGTTAACATCTGTATCAAAGGAGACAAAAATATATTGTTATACTATTCTCATGCACACTATTTGTTTAATTTGTTCTATTAATTGCTATAATTACCACTGTTAACTAGCCCTATTGTTTTGTTTAAAAGTGTTTAGAAGCATTAAACCAAATAATAGTTTAAATAAAAGCATATTTTATATTTTATGTTATAATCATAATAGATGTGTATATGATGATTTATTACATATTTTACTGTTTTTTTGGTCTGGTATGGCTGTGTCCTGGGTTGGCTCTCTAAAAAGTTAGTTACCCTACTACACATGTAGATGTCCTTCGTAGATCCTAACATTCACAGATTCAGTTCTCAATTTTTGACAGTTATTGGATAGATATTTCTACTGTTTGCTATTCTGTTGAAACACTTTAATTAAAAGGCTTCCAAATGAAATATGTACTAACTTATTTCATATTTCTGAATGAGACAATAGCAGATTAATTGAAGATAAGCTCAATTAAGTTAACTATTAAATATATGAATAAAATAATTGGCAAGAAAGTAAATTCTTAAGTTTTGTTAATCTGAAAAATCTGAGTTCATAAATCTTACAGTAGATTTTCTTTTTTAGTGAAAATGCCTGGACAGGCCCCTTCCTGGCTTCTAAAAGGATATTTGAGGTAGCAGAATTACTACCTTACTCCTTCCTTTTCCTCTGTTTATAAAGATATTGAATTAAAGCAATAGGTAAAAGTCACTTTTTGATAACAATTGCTAATCAGATGTCTCCTTATAGTGGCCCAGTACATGGATTCATGCACATTGAAAGGAAATTAATTAGAATATATTTTAATATCGCTATTCACCCTTTCTCTATAATAGAAGTGTCAACCAAATTCATGATCAACAATGAAACATGTGCAATGGCGCCAGCAAGAGCTTTATATGTATTGCACGTGCACGAGTCAACTTAGCCTTTTATATAGAGAGAATAAACTTGCTTAATTAGACCCGCTTTCTGATTTAGCTAAACTTTTTCCAGCCCAGTGAAACATCCCACTTCTCTTTCAGGCAATTGTCAGCAACACAGCAGTAAATATCAACACGAAGCAGATTATTATTGTAGATCACGCAGGGAGAACAAAGGGTAAAATATTTAACTGCAGCAGTATTTGACTATATTCTGCGCAGTGAGAAAGAAGTCATTTTCAAGGTCCACCATTTCTTACTGCTTTTCAATCGGGTCAAGTTTCTAAGCTTTCTAAATCTCCGTTTTCCGGCTAATGAAAAGAAAATGGGATTCTACCAAGTCTCCTATCTACCTACTCCAGGACTTCTGTGAGAATCAAATGAGATGAGGCACGGAAAAACGCTTCATAGACATTTGGTTAAAGTGTAAAATGTTTCCACCTGGCTATAAAGCAAGTTGTGTTCCTGGGCTGAAGAAACTCCAAGGAGGCTAGTCGCTAGGGAGAGAAAGCCAGGCGTTGCTACATGACATCATTACCCGGCGTCTACAGCGACCGTTTCCAGGCTGGGCTGGGGGCTGCATTTAGTGCCATGGGGTCTTGGCAGCATTGGCTGTGATTTGGTGGGGTGTCACTCTGGGGTGGTGGCGGGGCCTGTGTCCCGCTTGGAGGAAGCCAAGTGTTGCTTTGTGGGCGCCAGGTCCGCAGTGCTGTTTCTGTGTAAATGGCCAGTGTGTGTCATGGCAGCTCCTGTGTTGAGTGTCTGCCCCCTGGTGGTCAGTGCACATCATAGCAACTGGACAATTAGCATATTAGCCTTTTATATATAGAGATAGTATCTGTGACTAGGCCAGTTTATGGAATGCCCATATGATGCATTTTTTTAAGGGTTCTGAGATTTCAATATCCCCAAACTATCCTCAGTGGATGCCTTAAAATCTACACTTAGACATTTATTTCTATGCATCTGTCATCACATTATCTGAGTTTCTCTTTTTAAAAAGAAATATTTCTGGCATAAGGTAATTACTTTAGAATGAATAACTCGTTCATTTACTATCTGTACTAGCCATTGGAGCACTGGTCATGTAGGGATACTACTACTACTACTACTACCTAAAAACTGAAAAAGGAATGACAGAAAGAGAAATCAGGGATAACAGAGATAAACTTGGTAGTTTTGTCTAAACCAGTAATTATAGCATTAGCTCCCTTGGCAAGTTTCCTGAGTCTTAGGCAGCGGTTCTCAATCTGTGGGTAGCGACCCCTTTGGTGGTCGAACGACCCTTTCACAGGGGACGCCTAAGACCATCCTGCATATCAGATGTTTACATTACAATTCATAACAGTAGCAACATTACAGTTATGAAGTAGCAATGAAAATAATTTTATGGTTGGGTCACAACATGAGGAACTGTATTTAAAGGGCCAGAAGGTTGAGAACCACTGAATCTTAGGAATCTTAGGAATGTGAACAACCATCTGAACAGGTAAGTATTTGAGAACAGACGGCCAAATACAAGAAAGGCACATGGTATGCCCTTTCTTCCTTTCGTGGTGCCTCTTCTAAGAACTTGGTTTCTTTTTTTAAAAAAAGAAAAACTGGGTTCTGTTGAAATATGTAGTTTCCTACCCCAAAAATGTAAAAAATCAGGTAAGAAACCATCTTGGGCATACCTGTACTTTGATCTAGAATTGATGGATTTAAACTAAGACATAAATTTTTTAAATATATTATTTGTCATATCTATGGAAAGAAATTCAATTATATATCAAGAGAAGAGAAAGTAATAGAAAAAGTACTGAAGTGAGATGTGGATTCTCCCTCAAACTGGCCATGTAATCTTAAAACAAGTCGCTTAATCTCTGGAATTCCTGACATTCTTTTACAGTCCCTCTCCCATATAAAGTGAAAGATAAAATAGACCATCCTACCCCAGGATGAGAGCCCCCATAGGATAACATCTGTAAGAATACTTTACATACTGTATGTACATTGTAATATACAAATACAATAAGGATGACATTCCTCTTGATTAGATGGTTCACTGTTGGCATTGAAATCAGAGTACCCAATTTCTTTCAGCTCCCAAAGTATGATGCAGAGGCTTAGCAAATACCAACAAAGACACTTTTCAGAAACCGGTAAGAGACCAATCCAGGAAGCAATTCAGCCCAGGAGCACTGGTTTGTATAGAAACTGCTTCAGAGTGACATCCTTGAATTGTACTGTGGGCACGCCAACTCCCAGTTGGACAGAAAGGCCAAGGATACCAACAGAAGGTCTTTTTATTTTTATTTTTAGGATTTTAATAAATACAAGTATAGCTTTCACTGTATCATCATTAATAAATCCTATGAAATTGGGATTTAGGGGAACTGCTTTTGTAAACAGGGATGATTAATAGCCATTTTATTCCTGTCTCTGAAAAATATTTGCCTTACTTAATTTCTACAGGAGTTGAGTACAGAAGAAAATCATTTCAGTTTAATATAGCCTTGAAAAAGAGATCTATTTAATTGACTTATTCCCAATATCCTTGAGGATTTTTTTTATTACTGCTTCAATTTTATTAGTTATAGCAACACCTCCTTGTTATTGATGCCTTTCAGTAGATAGAATAAAAAAAGGAATGAGCTGCTGGTACAGCACAGGTGATTCTCAGAATCATTGTGCTAAGTGACAGAGGCAGACACAGAAAAGTAAATATTACATGATGTGTGCTCATTCATCAAAACAGATTAATTAGGAAGCTTTCCTTATCCATCTCTAAGTATGATTCAAAGTCCCTCTTCTGGAATCCTGTGTTATATACCCTGCCTTATCTCTATAGAAAGATACTCTGACTGACGCTTTACTTTTCTCTCTCTAGTCCTGTTAGCATATTAAAGACACGGACTATATTTTTCATTCCTATTTACCAAATCAAGCATAATGTCAGATTCAGGATACGCATTCAGTGAATGGCCAAGGAATGACTTTTCAAGAAACTGTAGATGAGTTCATTTCAGTTGCCAGCATTGCCAGATGCCGTGTCATCCATTCCCTCATTCATTATCCAAGTCCTGCTGCCTCAAGGAGTACTCACGCCACTCGTTTCCTTTCTTTTTACCTTTTTTAAAAAAGCTTTATTGTGGAAATTTCAAACATAAAAGTAGAGAGACTGGCGTAGTGAACCCACAGATGTCCATCACCCACCATTAGTAGTTATCAGCATCCTGCTATTCTTGTTTCATCTATATTCCCACCACTTTTTTTTTTGCTAAAGTATTTAAAGCAAATTCAACAAATATCATTTGCCCATAAATAGTTCAGTGTGTATCTCTAAGTAAACATTTTTTTCAAAGCTTAATGTATTTCTTGCTTTTATTCTAAGCATGTTCTACTTTTCTTATGCTGTCTACATGACAATTTAGCCATTATAATTGTAAGTACTGCTGCCATGTTCTTTAAAATGTCTACTAGTCCTCCTTCATGCTCTACTTGGGGTTCTTTTTCCCCCTCTCCCTATATATTGAAATGTTTAATTGCATTAAAATACACCTAACATAAACTGTATCATCTTAACTATTCTTAAGTATAAAGTTCAACAATGTTACATACATTTCACATTGTCATGCGCACAATCTCTAGAATTCTTTTCATCTTGCAAAACTGAAATTCCATCCCCATTCTTCCCTCCCCCAGCTATTCTGCTTTTAACTCTATGACTTTGGATATTCTAGGTAGCTCATATTAATGGCACCAGTGATTTGGAAGATGAGTACAGTCTTTGTCTTTTTTAAAAATATGTTTTTATTGTTTTTAGAGAGAGGAAGGGGGAGGGATAGAGAGATAGAAACATCAATGATAAATATCCATCGGTGGCCTCCTACACGCTCCCCCCACCCACTGAGGATCCAGCCTGGCATGTGCCCCTACCAACCTGGAATTGAACCAGTGATCTGGTTCATGAATCAGTGCTCAGCCACGGAGCCACACCCCAGCCAGGCTTTGTCTTTTTGTTACTACCTTAATGCGGGTGTCGGTTTCCGTTGTTTTTTAAGGCTGAATAATATTCCATTATGTGCAGAAACCACATTTTGTTTATCCATTTATTCAATGGGCACATGGGTTGCTTCCACCTTTTCGCTGCTGTGAGTAATGCTGCTAAGAACATGCATGTACAAATAGCTTTTTGAGACTCTGCTTTCAATTTTGGGGGGTCATTTACCCAGAATAGGAATTGCTGGATCATAAGGTAGTTCTATGTTTAATGTTGAGGCACTGCCGTACTGTTTTCCACAGCAGATGTACTGTTTTACATTCCTGCCAGCAGTGCACAAGGGTTCTAATTTCTCCACAGCCTTGCCAATGCTGGGTTATTTCCTGGTTTTTTGGATAGCAGCCATCTTAATGGGTGTGGAGTAGAATAAGTAATTTTTAACTAGACTTTATTTTTTAGAGCAGTTTGACAAACACTTTTTTAAAGTGTTATACTTTTATTATTACAATTAAAAAAATAATTATTTCCTTCACATCATCTAACAAAGAAGGGATTTCTAACCTGCTTTTCCCATCATTTTCTTCATGTCTCTACTCTTCCATTTTCTCAGATCAGAAGCTGTGGAGCCAACACTGATTCTTCTACTCTCACCCCATATCGAATTCATTAGAAAAGCCCAACATCTATCTAGGATCCCCTCACACACACTTCTCACCCTTCTGGCCATGGCCACCACCCTGGTCCAAACTATCACCTTCTCTCCTGGCTTAGTTCACTAACCATCTAAGAGATAAGGTTGCTCCCTGCTTGTCCAACCTTGTCTCTGTTTAATATATTCTTACCTCAGCCACCAGCATCATCCTTTTAAGACAAATCTAAGATGTGATACTCCTCTGCTCAAAGCCTGAGGTTACTCCCCATTTCACACACAATAAAAGTTAAAGTCCTTACAATGGCCTTGAGGCCCTATGTAAACGGAGCCCAGTTACACCTATGTACCTACCTGAGCTCTCATCTTTTTCCCTTCGTTCATTCTCCTTTAGCCATTGTGCCATCACTTGGTATTCCTTGTACACACTGCCATGCTCCCAGCTCAGGGCCTTTGCACTTCCTGTTCCCCTTGTCAAGAATGCTCTTTCCTCTAAAAGCTGTTTGACTCGCTTACTCCTTTGGCACATCGGCATCACAGGGAGGCCGTCTCTGAACACCTTTTTAAAAATTGGAATCAACCTTTTCCCCAAGAATTCTCTGTTCCCTTCCCCAGCTTCACTCTACCCCATAAACTTTATCATTATCTAACATATATTCACTTGTTTATTTATTTTCTGCCCTGTAATTAAAGAATAAGTTTCAGATAGAATTCTTGGCACATACGGCTCAATAAATACTTATTGAGTCAATTCACTCAATTCAATTTCTACATCTATGCATATTGTTGTGGTTGTCCCCCAGATCTGCATAGCAACCTGAAAAGCAAAATGAGACAATCTACATCTTTCCAATGCAAGAAGACTCATGTAAATTGGACAGATGATGAAAAAAGAATCTACAGGGATAAAAGAATAGCTCAAACCGAAGAAATATTGCAATATTTGATCCCTATCATGAAAAGCACGACAAATGTGAGAACCAATCAGATAAAACAGATATTCAAACCTCGCACCAACTTCCAAATCCAACATCAATTGTAAGTCAATACAATTTTGTCATTATTAACTTTTTTAAAAATATATTTTATTGATTTTTTACAGAGAAGAAGGGAGAGAGAGAGAGAGTTAGAAACATCAATGAGAGAGAAACATCGATCAGCTACCTCCTGCACATCTCCTACTGGGGATGTGCCCGCAACCCAGGTACATGCCCTTGACCGGAATCGAACCTGGGACCTTTCAGTCCGCAGGCCGACACTCTATCCACTGAGCCAAACCAGTTTTGGTATTATTAACTATTTAATACATGCGTGGGCAAAAGCGGGGGAATGGGAGACACCCGCAATTATGTTAACATTAAAAATTTTTAATAAAAAATAAATGAGTAAATAAACATGTAAATAGAATAGTGGCAGCTACACCACATTGGACACAGGGACAAAGACCCAAAGCCATATGAAAATACTGTCTATGTGAAGAAGTAAATTATCTGGCCTTGTTTGATTGTTTATTCACATGAAAACACTCATTAATTCAAATCTGTGACTAAAGTATGCATTAATAAAGTATGACCATAGACTGACTTGAAATTTCTCAGATGGGTTTAAACTTAATAATCCTAGGGGGCAACTCAAGTTACTTCAGCTTATTGATACTCAGAGAAATACTCAGATTTTTTTTAAAGATAAAAAAATAGGACCAACACTAAGGCCAAAAGGAAACCTATATAAATTAAAGTAAGACAATGACAAGCTGATAATAAGAAACATAATACTAATATTATCAACAAATTTTGAAAAACTGCTTTCTATGTGCTAGACACAGTTCTGTGTTTACACATACATTTTACCTTCTACACATGAGGAAACTGAGGCACAAAGCAGTTACTTGTTCAAGGTCACACAGCGAGTAGGGAGCAGAATTAGAGTCAACCCAACTAGACATTCTGAGTCCAGAGTCTTTTATCACAATGCTTTGACATTTCTTCTTATAAGTGAAAAACAGAGGACCAATATACTTCATATTCAAAGCTAGCCTACAAATCAATGACAAAATTATGAACATTTCAATAGGAAAATGGGCAATTTCTATGAGCCAGAAATTCACCCAAAAAAAATAAAGGACGTGGCCTTTTTAATTAAACAATTGTTAAAAATTAAACAATTTTTAATTGTTTAATTTCACTTAAATCCAAAGAAGGCAAATTAAAACAATAGTGAAATGCTGTTCATTTTTGCCTCTCACTGGAAGAATTCATTCACTAATTGTTGGAATGTAAACTCACAGAGTTCCTTGAAGACATCCAACAATATAAATGAAAAATCCTTAATATTTATATTCATTTTAATAAGAAGTGTTACTTTAGAAATTGATCCTAAGGACAAAAAAAAAAATTGGTAAAGGCAACAGGATTTCTGTAGTGATGTTCATTTCAGTATTGTTTATAAGAACTAAAGAAAAAAAGAAACAATTTTGAAAAAGTATAATAAAGTAGAAAGCACCAATCTATCTGATTTCAACACCCTGTGATATATAGCTACTGCAATCAAGAGAGTATAGTATGGAGGAGGAACAGACATACACTGAGTGGCCAGATTATTATGACCACCCCATCAGTACAATGAAGTGAATTAGTTATGCAAATAATAATAAAACCTTGAGAGTATTTGCTTAGGAAGTTTTCAGTATTCAGTATTTTTGGAAGTGTCAATGAAGTACTGATGGGGTGGTCATAATAATCTGGCCGGTCATAATAATCTGGCCACTCAGTGTATATATCAATGGAACGAAACAGAGGGCCTAGAAATAGACCCATACAAATGCTTGATGAATTTTAACAAAAGTACAAAAGCAATTCAATGAATGAGAGATAGAATTTTCAACCAATGTTGCTAGAACAATTAGATATTCATTGGCAAAAAGAAATTTGACCTAAATTCATTTCTTATACAAAAAGTAATAATAATAATTGAAAATGGATCATGGATTTAACTGCACAACATAAATCTATAAAACTTTTGGAAAAAAATAGGAACTCTTTATAGAAATTGGGCAAAAAGTTATACTTTACACCAAAAGCATAATCCATAAAGAAAAGTAGATGTTAGACTTAATCGAAATAACAGTGTTTGCCCTTCAAAAGACACAGTTAAAAAGATAAAAACCTATAAAATAGGAGGAAATATTTGCAAACCGCTTAAAAAAGAGACTGGTATCTAGCCCGGCCAGCATGAGTGATTGAGTGGCGACCTATGTACCAGGAGGTCACAGTTCAATTCGAAGTCAGGGCACATGCCCAGGTTGTGGGCTCAATCCCAAGCATGGTGTGTGCAGGAGGCAGTCAGTCAGTGATTATCATCATTGATGTTTTTATCTCTCTCCCTCTCCCTTCCTCTCTGAAATCAATAAAAATATATTTTTTTAAAAAAAGAGACTGGTATCTAAATTAAAGTAGTCTCAAAATGTAACAGTATAAATATTTCATTCAGAAAATGAGCAAAATGTAGGAGGAACACATTTTACCAAACAGAACATACAGATGGCACATAACCACACAAAAACATGTTCCACATCATGAACCATTAAGGAAATGCAAATTAAAATCGCAATGAGAGAGCTGCATGCTATCAGAATGGCTAAAATTAAAAAAATAGGGGCAGCACTGAATGCTGAGGAGGGCGCAAAGAAATTGGGTCACTCAGACATTGCTTGTGGGAATGTAAAGTGTAAAACAAGTTTACAGTTTCTTTAAAAATACATATGTAACTGTAACTACCATATGACCCAGAAATTGCTCTCCTGGGCATTCATCCCAGAGAAATGAAAACATATTCACACAAAAACCTGTACACGGATGTTTATAGCAGCTTAATCTGTCAGTAGCCACAAACTGGGAGCAATCTGCATGTCCTCCAATGGAGGAATTATTAAGCACTCTGTGGTACATCCAGTCCATTCAGCAAGAATGGCTGATACACAGAACAACCTGGATCAATCTTCAGAGGGTGGTGCTGGGTGAAAACAGCCAGTCCCAGAGGTTACACACGGTAGGATTCTGCTTATATAACATTCTTGAGATAAAGTTAATATAATTCAGACAACGGGTTGATGACTGCCAGGAGGTAAGGAGGAGCTGGCCAAGGAGGAAAGTGGGTATGTCTATCAAAGGGGAGCAAGGGGGAATTGTTCTGGACCTCGACAATGTCAATGGCTACTAGTATATCCTGATTATATTGTACTATTGTTTTGTAAGATACTACATCTGGAGGAAACTGGGGGCAGGGTACATGGGACCTCTCTGTATTATTTCTTCCAACTGTAGATGAGTCTACAATCATCTCAAAACGTTTTCTGGTTTCTTGTTTCGTTTTTTATTGATTTCAGAGAGGAAGGGAGAGGGAGAAAGAGATAGAAACATCAGTGATGAGAGAGAATCATTGATCAGCTACTTTCTGCCCGCCCCACGCTGGGGATTGAGCCTACAACCCAGGCATGTGTCCTGGCCGGAAATCAAACAGTGACCTCCTCGCCGAAACCGGTTTGGCTCAGTGGATAGAGCATCGGCCTGCGGACTGAAAGGTCCCGGGTTCGATTCCGGTCAAGGGCATGTACCTGGGTTGCGGGCACATCCCCAGTAGGAGGTGTGCAGGAAGCGGCTGATCGATGCTTCTCTCCCATCGATGTTTCTAACTCTCTATCTCTCTCTCCCTTCCTCTCTGTAAAAAATCAATAAAATATATATTTAAAAAAAAAAAAAACAGTGACCTCCTGGTTCATAGGTCAACACTCAACCACTGAGCCATGCCGGCCGGGCTCAAAATTAATGTTTTAACTAAAAAAATAGTTGAGAATTTTGTGGTAAAAAATGGGATTCTAAAGAAAGCTGAGGTACTTTAAGCAACTGCAACTTGTAATATATAAAACCTCCCTCTCTCAAGGAAAACTCCCTTTTCTTGGATGTACAGTGATCTTTTTACTGACCATAGAAAAAAATTAGAGTATGTATACTGAGCTCATTCTAAGAGGATAAACAGATTTGATTTGTGAAAATTTGGAGGACATGTCCTTCCACTAGATCAGGGGTCCTCAAACTTTTTAAACAGGGGGCCAGTTCACTGTCCCTCAGACCGTTGGAGGGCCGGACTATAGTTTAAAAAAAAAACTATGAATAAATTCCTATGCACACTGCACATATCTTATTTTGAAGTAAAAAAACAAAACGGGAACAAATACAATATTTGTATTTGCATGTGGCCCACGGGCCACAGTTTGAGGACCCCTGCTCTAGATGTGTAAGTAAGGAGCTGAGGCCCAGAGTGCCCATGAATATACCAGGAAGCCTAGGGTCAGGGTACGTTTCCAAATAAACCTAGCCTCTAGGCATTTAGAAATGCAGAATTGGAGGCCTGCTGAAAAATCATGACCAGGGATATAGTGATAAAGTCTTAAGGGAGTCAAAGGAGAAAAAATAGACTTATACTATTACAAGTTCCTAGGATACGTGCTGAGCAAAAACTCACGCACTTTATTTCTTTTCTAGAGTAAATCCAGCTACTTATGTAAACTTGGGCGGCGCATCTTGGGCACCATCCAGTCATCTCCCTTTTATAGGCCAAAGGAACCTTCTGGCAAGCTCTTCAGGATGGCTCCAATCCGTGTCCCAGAAGTCGTGTGAAAGCCTGTCACTTCTCAGAGGGCACAAGAAAAGGAAAGCATGTTCTGCGGTCAGTGCCATAAAGACTAAAGACATGAAACCTGTCAGCAGCAAATGGGAGATTCCTTCCTCGGGTTTTGAGAAGGACGTGAATGTTACCAAAGGCCGGAGTCCTCACGCTGAAGAATTCAACCAGCAAACCTCCATGCGGATAGCCCCCAATCCAACTCAAACTAACGATGAGCAGCCAAATAAGAATGAGGGACAACCCATCTTCCATTTGAAGTTCCAAAGGCAGAAATAATCTAGCTTTATGATACTCTGAAGACTGTGGGTGAAAGATAACATATGCTTACCTATTAAAAAGAAAAGAGAAAGAGAAGCCCTCTCCATCCCTCTTATCACCTTTTCTCTCCCTACACATGCATATGCATATACTAAACTACAAACCCTACATACTCCATCTTCTGTAGTGAGAACATCTTTCAGAAATATAAAAGGGAATCTGGAGCCCTGGTCAGTGTGGTGCAGTGGCTAGAGCAGTGATGGCAAACCTTTTGAGCTCGGCGTGTCAGCATTTTGAAAAACACTAACTTGACTCTGGTGCCGTGTCACATATAGAAATTTTTTGATATTTGCAACCATAGTAAAACAAAGACTTATATATTTTATATTTTATATATTTAAATGCCATTTAACAAAGAAAAATCAACCAAAAAAATGAGTTCGCATGTCACCTCTGACATGCGTGTCATAGGTTCGCCATCACTGGGCTAGAGCACCATCCCATGCACTGAAGGGTCATGAGTTTGATTCCTAGTCAAGGGCACGTACCTGAGTTGCAGGTACGGGGTGTGTGGGGCGGCAACCAATCGATGTGTCTCACATCGATGTTTCTCTCTCTCTCCCTCCCACTCTTCCTCCCTCCCTCCCTCCCTCTCTCTCCTTCTCTCCTTTCCTTACTCCCTCCTTTCCATTCCCTAAAAATATGGAAAAAAATATTCTCAGGTGAGGATTAACAAACAAAAGAGAAAACAGCAGATTTTTTAAATTTTCTTAGGTATTATACTAGTATTTAATTTTTGTCAAGATGGGAAAAAAAATCTCTGAATTTCTGATTTCTTCCGAAATGATTTATTTATACACCACCAAAAAAACTAAGTACTCAGGAAGGAATAACCTGTACTATCACTGACTTTAATGTCCCTACTAGGCCCTTGAATGAATCAGTCAACCAAAAACATTTCCTGAATTTTTGTTATATCTATAGTGTGCTAGAAACAATTGGTGATTTTTTAAAAAGACATTTCTCCCTCCCAGTTGGTGTGGCTCAGTGTCGTGGACCTATGAATCAGGAGGTCATAGTTCAATTCCTGGTCAGGGCACATGTCCAGGTTGTGGGCTCGATCCCCAGTAGGGGACATAAAGAAGGCAGCCAATCCATGATTCTCTCTCATCATTGATGTTTCTGTCTCACCCTCTCCACTCCTCTCTGAAATCAATAAAAATATATATATTTTTAAAAAGACATTTCTCTCCACTGCAAGATTACTGTATAATTGTACATATAAAACATACATGACTAAAATAATGCAGAATGAGATAGTGCATAGTAAAGTGCTAAGATCTGAACAATTTTAAAAATACTATATTAAAAGATGCTAATTAAAAGGAAATAAAAGGTATACAACCTGGAAAAGGATGAAGTAAAACTGTATTTATTCACAGAGAAGAAGACTGTAAATGTAGAAAATCCCTGCTGGAAGTAATAAGCAATTACGGCAAGGTTGCAAGATACAAAGTTAATATACAAAAGTCAATCAGTATCTTAGATACCAAGCAATGAATATTGAAATTAAAAACAATACCGTTTACCTGAGCACCAAAAAAAGAAATACTTAGATGTTAATCTAATTTACTCAAGATCTATATGAGGAAATACCATAAAACTCTAATGGAAGAAAAAAACCTCAAGAAATGGAAAGTTATTCCATGTACATGCATAGGAAGGCTCAACATTGTCAAGAGGTCAGAACTTACCAATTAGATCTATAGATGCAGTGAAATCCCAATCAAAATTCTAGCAAGTTAATATTGATTGATTTGATTCTAAAATTTGTGTAGAAAGGCAAAAGATTCAGAATATCCAATGCAATGTTAAAGGAAAGAACCAAGTCAGAGGACTGACGTCATCCGACTATACGACTTAAAAAAGACGGACTATAAAGCTATAGTAATCAAGACCGTATGGCCCTGGCCAGTTTGGCTCAGTGGATAGAGTGTCGGCCTGCGTACTCAAGGGTCCCAGGTTCGATTCTGGTCAAGGGCATGTTCCTTGGTTTCGGGCACATCCCCAGTAGGGAGTGTGCAGGAGGCAGCTGATGTTCCTCTCTCATCGATGTTTCTAACTCTATCCCTCTCCTTCCTCTCTGTAAGAAAATCAATAAAATATTTTAAAAAAACACACACACACAATATGGTGTTGGCAACCTTAAATTCTATGTCCAGCAGAAGAAAAAAGCAAAGATTGAGGCGTCTGTGAAAGGAGGACTGAGTATCTGCTACGACCCCATCCTCTGGCAGCCGTGACCCAGCTTCTGCATTGTCTTTGGCTCCCCACACATGGCAACCGCGATGCCTGGCGCAGCCTGGGTTCTGGCGTTGGCATTGATGCTACTGACAAGGGCAGAAGGGCGTTTGTAAGGTGAAATGAAAGACATACACTAACTTATTGGCTGTTATCCTGAGGTCATTAAATTGGTCTCTTCTAACTAGGCTTTAAAATAATGATCTGCCACCACCACCAATAAAAGTTGTTTCATCTTAAAGCAGAGGGGTGAGCACCCTTTCTACACACAAAAGGAGTCTGCTGCTTAAGTCGTTTTTTCCCCAAAAAAACGTAGATCTTTACTATGGCTGAATTCATTATTTTCAGAAACATGTTATAAACTCTTAATTGGCAATTTCTCTTTGAAATAAATTATAAACAAAGGAACAATGATCCCTTTGTTAATAGTTTGGCCATCTTCACTCCTCACCACCAAGCCTGATAAGAGCCTCTGTTCTCCACATTCATAGGCAGACCATTGACCCAAACCGTGGTCCCCAGACCAGCCTCTGCTGACACCATCCCTTCTCCTGGAGGCTGTGTGTGTGTGTGTGGGGGGGGGGGGGGGGGTTGTTCATGGGTGTGGGCCTGGGCCCGAGTCTCCTGGAGAGACACTAGGAGAGTGAGGGGTTTTTTTCAAAGAAACAACAGATGGCAAATCCAACTGGTAGAATGCTACAGTCCCGTCTCGACGGTAACCACTGTTCTGAAGATAGCTGTGTGCCGAGGATGGCAGGGCCACACCCTGGGACAGGAGCCAGGCCTCGAAGCCACGCCCTCAGAGAACGCCGGACTGATCACGCTCCACTGGAAAGACGTGAAATGGTAAGACAGCGACAGTCCCTCTTGATGTCTCTTATCACTGAGTCCCTATCAGTGAGGTAATAAATGCCTTGGTGAGGCCCATGTCTCTGACTCAGCTTGTCTGCGCTGACCAAGCACAGGCTCTGACAGGACGGGACTCCCTGTAACTGTGAGCAGAACCCGCCCTCCCGTGCTCCCGAGGAAAACTCCAGACCAGAGGAGGAGCCTCACCCAGGAGCAGGGGCATGCGAGTCCTCGACTGCAGCCTGACTCACCATTATGGGAGGGACTGGCACTCCTGTCGGTCTCCAGTGTTGTATAGGGGCAGCTGGGGCCTAGAGTAGCCAGAGCTCGTGGACCAGTCTCTGCCTGCAATTGGCCTTTTATGTTGCCCCCAATGCACAGATAATACCACTTCCTAGTGTGCAGCAGGGAACAGCACAGAGGGGACTGTTTCCTTCAGCCAGGCCTCCCTGGCCCTGCCCACTGATGGCTGGCCTGGTTGCCAGGCATTGTTTGCGTTGGAAGCCCAGCAGTCCACGGGGTTCCAAGCGGGCAGCATGGCCCTGGGTACTAACAGCCAGTGGCCAAGCGCAGTCCCTTGTAGGCCTTCACCCGCCACAAAGGCACCTGTCCGGCTTGCGCTGGGGCGGTGCTCTGTGGTGGTAGCCGGCCACTGGATGTTAGCCGGCCAGCATGGCTTTAAGGAGGAATAAAGAACCAGCCAAATGCTTTTCTGCCCAGGTTGAAGAATATGGTTACGTTGGTGAAAGATTAACGAGTTTACACAGCCTATAACGCCCTCGAGTCACCTGTCATAAAGGCCATCGTGGCTCATCGTCAAGGACAGACATCGGTCAAAGGTGGGTCGAAATCCCAATCCCACTGACTAATGCCAAAGGCATCTCTGAAAGAAAAGCGGAACTTTAGAGGGAAATAATGGGTGGTTTGGATGAAAACACTCATCTATGGGGGAGCCCAAGCCTGCTTTCCCCAGCAGATGGGGGATAGGAAGTGTGGGATCTGAATGGGGCGGGGGAGATTCTTGAAAGGTAATACACAGGAATGAAACAGGCGGTAATGATGAAGGGGCCCCTGAGATCTCTGACGGAAGCCCTGCGGCAGGCATCGATTTGCCCGCTCGCTAGAGAGGAGCAGGCAGGGGTGGCAGCCTGCCTGGAAGGCAGGTGAGTGATATTTGAGGCCACAGCGGTCAGGGTCACCTGCAGGTTCAGGTCAGACATCTGTGTTTTTTCTCTTTAAAAGTAATTTAGATTTCCCTCAACTGCTGTTACTTAATTGTATTCTTTGTTTGCTCATTGATGTTTGATAGAATTTTAATTCCTAAGAGTGTTTTTAAATAGAGATGATTTTAATCTAATTGTGGTGCATTATTTCTGTTTCATCAGGCACCCAGAATTAGATGACATAAGTATTGTACTTTTACTATTATTTTTAACCACCATCGACATTTCATAAAACCTGAAACTAAAAGGAGATATTTGAAGCAAAAAAACAAAATACCTTTAATATATATATTATTAGAAATCTATAAAAGTAGCTTAATATTTACCTCAATAAACCTTTACCTCAGTTTATCTCAATAAAGACATCCCTGGTTGAATCTGTCAGCATTTTTCTTAGTTAAATTAGAAATTCATAGATTAATGTAAGGGACTGGAAATTTACAACCATTGTTTCTTATTTTACAATTTTATGAAGTTTGTCGTTTTAGACCTGTTCATGATAGCCTTTGCTTTGCAAGTCTTTCGATGTTATGCAGTCAAAACTTTTCCCTGTGAAAAATAATAAAGGGGCAGAGGTCAATCCCAGGAAGGCAGCTTGAGGCACTGCCCACCCACTGCCCAGCAAATACCATAGCTGGTTAAAAAAAAAAATTGTCCTAAGGACATACAACATATGAAGAAACTTTCATTCAAGAAAATCTACTAAGTCAGTGAGAGCAGAGAGAGTCTATAGCATGTGGCCAAGGACACAGGGATCACAAGCCCCATCCTTCCCCAGTCAAGGGCTGCAGTGTCTCCCCGGGAGGGGCAGCTGCTAGCATTTCTCAGCCCCTACTCTGCGCTGCAGAGGCTAAATGCCAGGCAAGCACAGCCAAGAAGCCAGGGCCTCCCGCCCTCCTTCCCCCCAGCCCCAAGGCAAGGGCTCTTCCCAGAGTCATCGCCATGGGC